CCACTTAGTTTTTTAAAGGGTTTATATTGACGAGTTAAAGAGGAGTCAACCAAACATTTCCAGTGCTACTATTGATGGTAAATTGGAAAATGAATTTGCAAATTGGTTCAATGACTATGTAAGACTTATATATATATTACGTATATTAAACTTCAAATTATTTAATAAACTTTAACACTTATATTACGTATTATACAGGCACATGATCATTCAAATAACATTTCAAACAAATTTATAAAGGATCTTGCAAAAGGGCCACTAAGATGCGTTAATACCTATTTAGGGTATTATGTGAATGGCTTTAAATTTCACACCATTGGTTATGGTGGAGCTAAAGAAACAATGAATAGTGGAGTTTGCATAAAAGGTACAAACTATAGTGTAGATGAAAGTGATTATTATGGTTGATTGGTAAAAGTTCTACAAGTAGAGTACCCTGGCTTACCAATCAAGAGGACAATATTATTCAAGTGTGAGGGGTTTGACCCAACAAGTGTGGGCATGAAGGTTCATTCTAAGTATAAACTTGTTGAAGTTAATCATAAGCGTAGATTTAATCGCTATGAACCATTCGTTCTAGCAAGGCAAGCCGTTCAAGTTTATTATTGTACATACCCAAGTTTGCGTCGCGACAAACTTGACTGGTGGGCTATTTGCAAAATTAAAGCGAGATCTGAAATAGTAGTTCCTGAATCATCTATATCTACTGAAGAATCACAAATACCTGCACCATTTCAAGAAGAAACTACCGACAATCATGATCTCATGCAAATAGATGAAGACCCTTTGTGTTTAAATGACCCAAATGGTGGGGTGATAGAATTTGATGTCGAACATGGTGACATCGAAGATGAACTTGAGTTAGAGGAAGAAATAGATGACTTAAGTGGAGGTTCAGTAATAGGAGATAGTGATAACGATATTGATAGTTACTACATAGTTTACATAGTAAATGGACATGTTATATTTATATGTTATTTAATTTTATAATATTTTATTATATTTTATTTTAGATGACACGAGGTGGTAGTAGAGCTGGACGCATAAGAGGACGTGGACGCGGTGCATCGGTTACAGTTCCGAGTTCTAGCCCATCATCGTCTGCACTTCCTCCTCCTGTGGCACCTATTGTGGCACCTCCTCCTGCTATAGTATCTCCAGCTATTGTGTCACCTACTTCTATTGGTTCACCACCGGACTTGCCGATTCCATCACCTTCAGACACTACTGCTCCACCCACATCCTCATCAGTTGGAGAACCATCTACTGCTTGTGATTTGCCTATTGTTCATGTAGAGCATGGGAGGTAAAAATATGTTATTATATTTACATTTATGTGTATATTTTTTTTATCTGTTTTGCCTATTGGTGCATCGGTGATTGTTTGTTGTTCCAAGACAATTTTGCATCACGCAATAACAATTTCTATGTTCATGTTCTATGCAAACAGCAATCATAGAAAGTTTTATATATAAATTCACAGAATATATATACGATCAGAACATATAATCAGATGTATAAATTCACAGATCATATAAATATGCAATTTGAAGCATCTGCAAATAATAAGGCTTAGAAAACTCGTAAAAGTACCGTTCACCGGGATTGAGCGTGCTGATAACGTGTTATAATTTTGTTGTTTGTGCCCGTTGGCCTATAGCTCCTAACCGGTGAGTTTCAGGATTGAATCAACAATAAGAAGTAATAGACAAAGAGAAGGGAGTGATATGATTTCATTTCCATGGCTTCCTCTTACAAAAGGATTACACACATATATAATATAGAATAATAATGGAATACATAATGAGACATTAATATGTCTGTTACAAACGTTACAAAGTAATGGCCACCATTAATATTTAATTATAACACCTAAGAAATATAGTTGTAAATATTGTTGGATATGTGCGAAAAATAAAACACATCTAAACTTTATAAAAATATTCATAACAAAATATGAAACATAATTAATTTAATAAAATAATTTGAATAGAAAACTCATTATAAATCGATGTTAAAAATCGCTAGGCGCCCTCTAGGCGCCTGGGGGGCCGCCTAGGAGGTCGGGCGCCTAGCGCCTAGGCGCGATTTTTGCAACAGTGTTATAAATTTCACATCTCACTATTAATATAAAAGAATGATATGTGTGTGTATTAAATATTAAAAAGTTATTAAAAACGTGATTGCGTTGAAGCCTAAGGGAAGGAGTAAAAAAAAAAAACTGTAAAATTGAGTTGATACTAAAAGATTCAAACCCTTGACCTTTACTATTATTAAACATATGGTCTACCAACTAGTCTAACTCATCTCTTATTAATATTTAATAATTTTTTATACTAATACTAAAACATGCACTATATATACATATATACATAAAAAATATTATATATGGGGTGGGGGTGGGAGTGGGGTGAGGGGGGCAGCGACCCCCCTGCCCCCGTTGGCTCCGTCTCTGATCACGGATCCCACATCGGAAGTTTAGAAGAAAAGGGGTGTTGCAACGCCCCTTTAGTTTTACTCTTACTCATCCCATATCGGATGGGCAAGAGTAGAGAAGCCTGATGCCTCTTTATTTAAAGAAGCCTCAGGCTTCTTACAAAGCAGTTTAATTTTTTTTTTTTATATATAAAATGGAGGGTTTTTAATTAATCCAAGTTATATGCTTTATGATAGCTATATTTTAAATTTTAAATTTTTATAATTTAATACAATATATTTGTATATATAATTGTGACAATTATGTAGGTCTAATTAAGCATACCAATAATTAATATTGTTTAAACTTAAATCTTGTATACAATATAATCTATAGTAAACTAAGACTTATTAAAACATGGTAATTTTTGGATTAGTGAATTACATTTATTTAGTTCAAAAAGACTATAAGACTATTCTACTCATTAATTTATGCTATTAATTTGTATTAATATAATAATTTATATTCCACATATTTATATTTGTATAATAATTAAAAATGTAAAATTTAAAACATATTTATTCCATAGAATTAAGTTCCAGTGCGGGTGAATGTTTTCCGTGCGGTTGTGCAGTTTTAAGGTGCGTGAGTTTTGTATTTAAGGTGCGTGAGTCTTGTGCTTAAGGTGCGTGAGTTTTGTGCTTAAGGTGCGTGAGTTTGTGCTTAATGTGAGTTGTTGAAACTTAAGGTGCGTGAGTTTTGTGCTTAAGGTGCGTGTGTTTTGTGCTTAAGGTGCGTGAGTTTTGTGCTTAAGGTGCGTGAGTTTGTGGTTAATGTGAGTAGTTGTTGAAACTTAAAGGTGCGTGTGTTTTGTGCTTAAGGTGCGTGAGTTTTGTGCTTAAGGTGCGTGGGTTTGTGCTTAATGTGAGTAGTTGTTGAAAGTTAAAGGTGCGTGTGTTTTGTGCTTAAGATGCGTGAGGTTTGTGTTTAAGGTGCGTGAGTTTTGTGGTTAAGGTACATGAAGTTTGTGTTTAAGGTGCGTGAGTTTTGTGCTTAAGGTGCGTGTGTTTGTGTTCTTAAGGTGTTTTTTTATGTTCTTAATGCGCGTTTGTTTTGTACTTAAAGTGCGTCAATTTAATGGTTAATGTGTGTCCACCCGCACAACCGCACGGGAAGTATAATTAAATAAATAAAATAATTTATTCAAGTTCTTATATGTTGATTCTTCACTAGATTAATAAATCGTACAATAAATTGAATTGTTTTCACAATTTTAGTGCGTAACAATAATTAAGTTTTATATTGCGTGTCAATAATGCTGGAGAATACGTGTAGTGCAACTGATTATTATTCATCAGTAGTTAATTAATAACTATCATACAAATAGTTATACGTCAGTTCATATAAGTTACAAATGGATCTACACGTTTGCATGCTGCCAAAAGGTTATGTACAGAGGAGTTTACCATTGAGTTTGAGACCTTGGAGTCGCTCTCAAATACAACATGCTGGAGGTCAAGGGACTTGCCGAGCTGGATCCCTCTTATACTCTTTTTTTGTTGTTGTTGTTGTTGATGTTGTTGCTGCTGCTGCTGTTGCATGCGTGCACACATAAATATGTATAAATATTAATTGTGTATTAGAGCAACTACAACAATGGTTTTTTCTTTATTTTTTGTAGAGATTAAAAAAAATAGAATAAGGTTTTTGCACAAATGAAAAACATAATTTTTATGAGATTTTTTTTTCCTGCAAATTAAAGTTTTTTATGAACTCCAAGAGATAGCCAACTGACGTACAAATTGCGCATTGCCGCTCCCATCATGGTGCATGTAGTGCATGCATCGTTGTGCTCTATCTCTCCAGCTTTGCTACTACAACCAAACCTCTTTTAAAAAAAAAAAAAAAAAAAAAAAAAAAAAAAAAGAGTTAATTCCATTTTTAATTAGTTCTACATTTATTGGTGATAGTCCACTTTTAGACATTTTTTTTAGAACATTCCTTTTGGGTCATAGTATTATTGTGACATAACTATTTTTGGTTATATGTCAACAAATTTGTTGAAATATCGTTAAATACAATAATATTTCGATCCTTTATATATATATATATATATATATATATATATATATATATATATATACAAAGTGGAATTCACACGCTATATTTTTATTTTTATTTTTATTTGAAAAAATCATAACATAAGATATAAATATCCTTGTATTTTACAAAATTTAAACGATTTTATTGATGGAAGACCAAAAATGATCATGCCACAATAATACTATGATCAAATGAGGATGTATATAAAGAATTACTAGAAGTGAATTATTTCCTCTAAATATAGAACAAAAAATGAAATTAACTCAAAATAAATAAATAAATAAATAACATTTGAGGATTTGCTTTAACTTAACTAATTAGCTCATTTTGATTGTACGTAACATTTGTCAAAGTGCTGGAAATTCCGTATACCGATACCATCTACTTACTAAATGCTACTATATATATAGTTCTAGAAACAATTCAATTCATATCAGTATATATCACAATCTTTTTGAGAAAAACCAAAGCAACGATATATTTAATATAAACCAAAATAGTCATCCAATACAGAGGAGGAAATGAAAAGGGGAATATAGTCAAAAAATTCCAGAACTCCCTCGCCAGAATTACTTAAAGCATACTTTGCTAAATTGTGAGACGGAACATTTGCCTCACATTTTGCAAAAACAAAATTAACTAATGGAAGTTGCTTCAGCTGCATACGAATGTCATTTATAATAGCTCCAAAAGGTGTGCAATGCTGACCTGTGAACACAGCATTTTTCACCACTTGTGCATCAGTTTCAAGCACTACCCGAGACCACCCGTTCTTTTTAATCCAACTCAAAGCTTCACGGGCACCAATGGCCTCCGCCTCCTTGACAAAGTAGATTCCCTTGATCATAGAGATAGCTGCTCCCATCACCACGCCTGCAGCGTCACGGAGCAGCCAGCCGAAGCCCATACTATGTGCATCAAAATCCAAAGCCACATCGATGTTAAGTTTATAGCAACCTAGTGGGGGAGGCCTCCAAGCCGTTACCGGGGATGGAGTATGCAGCGCATTCATCATGGTAGGTTGATGGGGTTGAGCAGTTTTCCAATCATGTACATAGGCCAAAACTACACGTACCATCGTTCTAGAATCCATGCATTGATTGTTCCAAATCATTGAGTTGCGGTTCTCCCAAATTGCCCAGCAAATAGTTACCACCTTTTCCACCATATTAGAAGGTAATTCTAACCACACTTCATCAACCCACAGCCCGATTGAACCTGGTGATTCCATAGGCCACCCCATTTGAATCTCCTGCCAACACGAATGGGCAAAGCTACAATCTGCGAACAAGTGGATCGCTGTTTCAGGTTCATCTCCACATAACGGGCACATCAAATCGCAAGCTACCTGTTTAACAAGCAATGCATCAGTAGTCGGCAACTTCAAAGCACACATGGCCCAAAAAAAAAAACATTTTATCTTCAGGGGTAGATGTAGGTTCCAAACAGCAGTCCATGGCAACTTGTAATGCTGTTCCAAGTTACCAAAGGCCAACCTATAAGCACTTTTAACCGAGTATAGCCCATTGTCTTCCCCTCCCCAATACAGCACATCAGGCATAGGTTCATTAGGTAATGGCAGATTTTGAATCAGGTTAACGTCTCTTAGTTCAAAAATATCACGCAGCAGATCACTGTCCCATTTGTTTCTGTCTACACAGAAGAGGGACCGAACCAAAGGTGCATGTAAGTAATGCTGTTCCTCAGTCACAACATAAGGGTTATCAGAATCTGGAAGCCAAGGGTCCCCCCATACTCTTACCGTGCCACCATCTCCTATCCTCCATCGTGCACCCTCTTTCAACAACCCCTGGGATTCCCTAATACTAGACCATACAAAGGACGGATTAGAGCCCACACCTGCTTCTAAGAAGGAACACTTTGGAAAGTAGCGAGCCTTAAACACCCGTGTGACTAACGCCTCCGGGTTAGTTGAAAACTTCCATCCTTGCTTACCCAACATAGCTAGATTCATCTCCCTCACTCTTCTAAATCCCATTCCCCCATACTTCTTTGGTTTGCATAGGGCACCCCAAGTACTCCACCGAATCCCCTTACCCCCTTTCCCTTCACAACCCCACCAAAAGGAGTTCATTAGCCGCTCAATGTCCTCACTAATCCCCTTAGGTAATAAGAAAACATTCATCGCATAGTTTGGGATGCTTTGAAGGACAGTTTTAAGAAGGACTTCGTGCCCAGCCTGGGACAAATAACGGTTCCCCCAATGCGTGATTCTAGCCCGAACTTTCTCCTTAATGAACCCTAAAATCTCCTTCTTCCGTCTCCCTACAAACCCCGGCAACCCCAAATATCTCCCCCGGCCCTGCTGTTCGTGAACTCCCAGGGTCTTACATACAGCCTCCTTATCCTCCCTGTGCACGTTATTTCCAAAAATAATTGATGTCTTTGTAAAATTAACCTGTTGACCACTTGCACCCCTGTACTCCTCTAAAGTATCTCTTAAGAACCTCGCTTCAAATCTGTTTGCCCGAAAGAATAACAAACAGTCATCCGTGAAAAAAAGATGAGAGATAGACGGCGCGTGTCACGCTACACAGATCCCATGAAACACCCCTTCCACCTCCAAATCTCTCAACATGGCACTCAGACTCTCAGCCACTATAATAAAGAGACACGGGGATAAAGGATCCCCTTGCCTTAGCCCTCGCTCAGGAACAATTGGACCCCATTGTGATACCCTGATTTAAACTAAGGAAAATAAGTATTTAATTGGGAAATGGTATTAATCTAAGTACAAATGAATAAATAAATATTTTGTATATATTGTGTTTTTATTTATAAAGATACGGTATGTAGTATATTTTATATATAAGTATATATAAGTATTTATATATATATATATATATATATATAAGTATAGAAATTATTTGTGTATATAATTGTGTGTACTCTAGGATATTTATATATTAAATTAATTCTTTTTACACTTATAAGATTAAGAATGTGGACCTAGTAGTGACCACATTCATTTGACATGTGGATAATTAGTTGGTTAACAAAATCACTACAATCACTCCTCCATTTGCCATAAATCTTGTTTTTTCCTTTATCTTTCCTTCCTTCTGATGGGGACCAAGACGTAACAATTTTTATCCATTCTTTTCTCCTTGGACGAGATCTTCATCAGCCATTCCCTTTTCCCTTGCCGAAAATTATCCAGATATTTCTTTAAAAGAAAAAAAAATTCTTCATCAACAATTAGAGTATCAAGTTTTTGAAGAAATGATATTATAGAAGATCAGAGAAAGTGTAGGCTTGAAGTTCCTTGATGATTTTTGGAGGAAATTCAAGTAAGTGTTTATGTCCACTTCTTTATTCTACTCTGTAAATATGTATGTTTTTCTGATGTACTGAGAAATATAAGTTTTATGGCATATGAGCAAATTTGATTGTTTAATATGTGAGGTTGTTTGGTAAAGTGTACATATGAATATATATAATTTCTGTTCAAAGGAAAAAATAGTTTCATTTTCATGCAGTACGCATGTACGCATTTCTATATAAATTTATATGTACTTTTTCAAGTAAAGTATATATGTATATAAATTTCTGCTATTCGTATGTATATTAAAAATAATATTAATAATTTATTCTATTTTCATAATTGAATTGTATGTAAATATATATGTGAATGTATATATGAATGTTCGTATTTTAAAGTGGTAAAAAATTATTAAATTGTGCATGCATATATTGTTTGCTATGTGGTCTTCATCTTTGTGAAATTTGTGATATTTGAAACGAGAAATTATTTGGTTGATATGTGTGGCAAATTTGGATGTATGTATATATTATTGGTACACGTCGTAATTTGAAGGTGAATGCGTATATAGTATGTTAAGTGGTACAATTGTGGGATATTATAAATCTATTGAATATGATTAGAGAAATATTTTGGAGGAAATTATTTTGGAGAAAATGCTATTTTTGGAGAAATGTATTTATATGTGGAGAAATGGTTTATTTTAAAGAAATCAGAATGTTGTGTGGTGTTCAGTAAAAGAGAGTTGTTGTTCACTTGGACCAATTACTACTCATCGGGCTTGGAATCCCATGAGGGTGTATCACATAGGTTATGATCCAGTTTCCAATATTGGTTGCGGGGTAGTCAGCAAGAGAAAGTTTGATTACTTGGATCATATACTACCCAGTGGCTTGGAATCTGCTGGGGGTGTGCACATAGGTCTTGGTTCAGATTCCAAATGGATTTTGAAGAGATGGTTATTTCTCCATATATAAATATTAATCCTCCATGTGTATGTACGAAAATTGATTTTTGAAAAGTATATCTCCACGTATATTTTGAAAAGGTTTATTATATAAAAAAAAAAAACTATTTTTTACAGGGTGGAGTAAACTTTACTTAGCAAAGTGTTGCTAACTTTGTTTGTTATTTTTGTATATCTTGAAAATTATATGTATACAGGTAATTGATTTTGGATGATGAAGAAAGAGAGCTTGGCTATAAGTTTGATCAAATTGATAGATTATTTTCAAGAAGAAAGACTTTGTGATAGTTAGTTATTGTATTATTGTTTATATTATTTGGTAATTTTTAACCTTAGCACTTAGGTTGTTGGTTGCCTAAGTGTGGCGGTAACACCCATTTTATTTTGGTTAGTTAATGCTTCCGCTATGATTTTAGTAAAATGTAAATTAAGGAAAAAATTTTAAGGAAATTTTGGATATGAAAATTGGGGTGTTACAAATTGGTATCAGAGCATTTCGAAACTTTGGGAACCTAGGGTATTAAATTTTGGATATAGGAAGTACAAGAGCCTAGGTTGTGAATTTTTGAGGATATAAGAAAATAGAATTGACTAGGAATTTAAGATTCTGGAAATTTCGCAGTAAGGATGTGTGGTGTTGTATAATTTTTTCATGTTATCTTCGATGATTGCTAATATTTGCAGGTGGTGGTATATGACTCGGTGAGAATTGGAAAATTTGGAGGTAATACTTTATGTTATAGTTGAAATAAAATATTTGGAATTGGTGATTTTATGGACGTGATGTATTATGGTGAAAGTTGGAGATGTTAGCGCTTAATTACTTATTCTGGAGCTATTTTATTAAGGTATTCTTTTAAGTTACGAGGACGTAACTATATTTTTAAGGAGGGTAGAGTTTAACACCGTGTTTTCTTGGTAAAGTGTGCAACTAGAAGATGTAGTCGTGTTTCCTTTCTGAATTGGGTTTAGCTTAGGAGCTTTGGGGACGAAGCTTTCTTTTAAGGAGGGTAGATTGTGATACCCTGATTTAAACTGAGGAAAATAAGTATTTAATTGGGAAATGGTATTAATCTAAGTACAAATGAATAAATAAATATTTTGTATATATTGTGTTTTTATTTATAAAGATACGGTATGTAGTATATTTTATATATAAGTATATATATAAGTATTTATATATATATATAAGTATAGAAATTATTTGTGTATATAATTGTGTGTACTCTAGGATATTTATATATTAAATTAAGGGAAAATGGCACTTTTTCCCCCTTTGTTATATACTTATAGCACTTTTTCCCCCTAAATTATTTAAGTGGCAGTTTTCCCCCCTGATATATTAAATGGACATATTTACCCTTAAAATAAATATTTCATTTATTTTTCTTCTCCAACAAATTATAACCACGATTTGAAAAAATAAAATACATTAAGTGTTAAATTCAAAATATTTTAAAAATAAAAAAATAAAATTTTAAAAGAAAGTTTGAACCAACCGTTCAAATTGGATCCAAAATCGTGAACCGACGGTTCAAAATAAAACTCAAATCGCGATTATATATACCTATATGTGAGAGTCAATATAAATGCAGGGAAAAACATACACTATTTGCAAATATTATAATTCTAATTTAAGCTATTGCTAGTAGTTGTTCTGATTTGAACCTCCGGTTCACGGTTCAGGATCCATTTTTTTCCAGTTCACGATTTTAATAAACGGAAATCCAAATATTGGGTTATCTTATGAATCATAATTGAAATTTTTTAATTTGATTGCTATAGTGTTTGGTTCAGTTCGAACCGAACCGTGGTCATCCCTACGTATAAGTAATAATTTGGTGAACAAGAGAAAAAAATAAAATATTTGTTTTAAGGGTAGAAATGTCCATTTAATATTATCAGGGGGAAAAATCACCACTTTTATAATAATTGAGGGGGCAAATGTGAATGCATGAATAACTCAGGGGGAAAAAGTGCTATAAGCATATAACACAGGGGGAAAAAGTGTCATTTTCCCTTAAATTAATTCTTTTTACACTTATAAGATTAAGAATGTGGACCTAGTAGTGACCACATTCATTTGACATGTGGATAATTAGTTGGTTAACAAAATCACTACAATCACTCCTCCATTTGCCATAAATCTTGTTTTTTCCTTTATCTTTCCTTCCTTCTGATGGGGACCAAGACGTAACAATTTTTATCCATTCTTTTCTCCTTGGACGAGATCTTCATCAGCCATTCCCTTTTCCCTTGCCGAAAATTATCCAGATATTTCTTTAAAAGAAAAAAAAATTCTTCATCAACAATTAGAGTATCAAGTTTTTGAAGAAATGATATTATAGAAGATCAGAGAAAGTGTAGGCTTGAAGTTCCTTGATGATTTTTGGAGGAAATTCAAGTAAGTGTTTATGTCCACTTCTTTATTCTACTCTGTAAATATGTATGTTTTTCTGATGTACTGAGAAATATAAGTTTTATGGCATATGAGCAAATTTGATTGTTGAATATGTGAGGTTGTTTGGTAAAGTGTACATATGAATATATATAATTTCTGTTCAAAGGAAAAAATAGTTTCATTTTCATGCAGTACGCATGTACGCATTTCTATATAAATTTATATGTACTTTTTCAAGTAAAGTATATATGTATATAAATTTCTGCTATTCGTATGTATATTAAAAATAATATTAATAATTTATTCTATTTTCATAATTGAATTGTATGTAAATATATATGTGAATGTATATATGAATGTTCGTATTTTAAAGTGGTAAAAAATTATTAAATTGTGCATGCATATATTGTTTGCTATGTGGTCTTCATCTTTGTGAAATTTGTGATATTTGAAACGAGAAATTATTTGGTTGATATGTGTGGCAAATTTGGATGTATGTATATATTATTGGTACACGTCGTAATTTGAAGGTGAATGCGTATATAGTATGTTAAGTGGTACAATTGTGGGATATTATAAATCTATTGAATATGATTTAGAGAAATATTTTGGAGGAAATTATTTTGGAGAAAATGCTATTTTTGGAGAAATGTATTTATATGTGGAGAAATGGTTTATTTTAAAGAAATCAGAATGTTGTGTGGTGTTCAGTAAAAGAGAGTTGTTGTTCACTTGGACCAATTACTACTCATCGGGCTTGGAATCCCATGAGAGTGTATCACATAGGTTATGGTCCAGTTTCCAATATTGGTTGCGGGGTAGTCAGCAAGAGAAAGTTTGATTACTTGGATCATATACGGTCAGTGGCTTGGAATCTGCTGGGGGTGTGCACATAGGTCTTGGTTCAGATTCCAAATTGATTTTGAAGAGATGGTTATTTCTCCATATATAAATATTAATCCTCCATGTGTATGTACGAAAATTGATTTTTGAAAAGTATATCTCCACGTATATTTTGAAAAGGTTTATTATAAAAAAAAAAAAACTATTTTACAGGGTGGAGTAAACTTTACTTAGCAAAGTGTTGCTAACTTTGTTTGTTATTTTTGTATATCTTGAAAATTATATGTATACAGGTAATTGATTTTGGATGATGAAGAAAGAGAGCTTGGCTATAAGTTTGATCAAATTGATAGATTATTTTCAAGAAGAAAGACTTTGTAATTGTTAGTTATTGGATTATTGTTTAGATTATTTGGTAATTTTTAGCCTTAGCACTTAGGTTGTTGGTTGCCTAAGTGTGGTGGTAACACCCATTTTATTTTGGTTAGTTAATGCTTCCGCTATGATTTTAGTAAAATGTAAATTAAGGAAAAAATTTTAAGGAAATTTTGGATATGAAAATTGGGGTGTTACACCCATTTCCTCCCATCAATCAAAACATTATAGCGGACAGTATAAACACACTCCTTCATCCAGCCAATCCAACGGTCACCAAAGCCCAGCTTTTTTAAGACTTGTCCTAGGAAACCCCATTCGACTCGATCAAAAGCCTTACTCATGTCAACCTTTAAAGCACAATAGCCACCTCTACTACCCTTGTTTCGAGTTAAGGCATGAGTAGACTCAAATGCAATCAGAACATTGTCAATAATTGAACGACACGGAATGAAAGCACTTTGAGCATGTGATATAATAGAATCAAGCACCCCCCAAAACCTATTAGCCAAGACTTTTGCTAGGATACGATAAAACACGTTACAAAGAGATATGAGGAGAAAATCAGACATCAACTCAGGGTGTTTTGTTTTTGGAATCAAGACAATGTGGGTTTCATTTATTAAAGTAGGTAACTGACTCGAGTCAAGGAAATTATGGCAGAAAAGATATACCTCATCTCCCAGGATATCCCAATGCAGCTGGAAAAAGGCTGGGGACAAACCATCGGGGCCTGGTGATTTGTCCGGATGCATAGAGAACACAGCTTCCCGAACCTGCACTTTGATAGGTATGGCTGGTTCTTTGCACTGTACCACTGATAGCGGTTCCTTTGTTTGGCTACAAACTAAGTTAGAGGACTGGAGTGGTGACTCCAATTCTAAACGTGGAGGTTCCAGTTTGCTCTCTTTGATTTCTTCTTTCTTCAAGGCTGGTTTGAGAGCTTGCTTCGATCTCTGTTGAATTTCTTCTACTTGTTTTGGAAGTAGAGGCTTAAGCACATGTATAAATCTATTATAGGTGACATTGCATGTGTTGTTGAGTGCATTATAATAAAAATGTCTATCATGTTGCCATGACCTTCCAAGAGAACACAGCTTCCCGATCCTCCGCAGGCGTAACCGGCCTCTCTAAGATTTTATTCTGCTTGGTGGAAATTTTCGCTTGCACACAGTCTACAACCTGCCTTATTCCTCCCTCACTACTCGTAAACAATTGTGTAAAATAGTCCACGACTAGCCTCTCAATACCACTCTCTTCAGTGACCAACTCACCTCCCGGCTCCCTCAACCCCGTTATCCTGTTCCTACGCCTTCTCCCGTTCATGGATTTATGGAAGAAGCGACTATTACAATCCCCCCCCCCCCCCCCCCCCCCCTTGTACCACCATTCCTTTGCTCTCTGTTTTAGCCGTCGACAATAGGCATTCTGGAGCACAAAATACTGCCGTTGGATTTCAATAAACTCCCTCACCCCCTCAGAGTCTACAGCCCCTCTCAAAATCCCCATCCGCTCTCTACACCTCGCAATCTCCCTCCCCTCTTTGCTTGACTGTTGTCTACCCCATTCCCACACATGTCTGCCGCAAGCCGCAAGGCGTTCCGCAATAGGATTGCCGTCAAGTGACGCCCAGGCATTTTCCACCACCCCTTTGCATTCTGGTAAATGACCCCATGAATTCTCAAACCGTGGCCTCCTCCTATAGTGTCTGTTGCCAATCGTGTTCGTCTCCAACAGTAGTGGCATATGATTACTGCTACTGCCCTCAATAGACCAAGCCCTTGCTTCTGTGAAAAGGTCCATCCAATTGCCCGATACCAGTATTCTATCGAGTTTCTCCCTCACCCAATTCTCAGTTCCCCGCCCGCGGTCCCATGTGTATTGATATCCCTCGAAGGGAAAGTCGAACAAACCACTTGCCCTAACTGCCTCTCGAAAACCCCTCATCAGCCATTGAGGGTGAGGCACCCGCCCCATCTTTTCTCTGGCATCCAATATGTCGTTCAGATCCCCCATAAGAACCCAGGGGAGGTCATTTAAAGAGGAGAGGTACCTTAGAATATTCCAAGAGATATGGCGTTGGTGACGTTTAGGACTACCATAGAATCCTGTGAACCGCCATCGGTTTCCATTCTGCCGAACAACCGTGTCGATGTAATGGTTGGAGTAGCCCACGACCTCCACATCTAAGCCCCCGTTCCACAACAGAGCTAAGCCACCGCCCCTTCTCGTCGCCTCAACAGTAAGGCAATTTTCGTATTTTAATTTAATTCGGACTTGTTCCATCTTCGACGCATTACTTAAAGTTTCACACAAAAAAAGAATGTCGGGCTTGTATTTGTTTACAAAGCCCAACAACACATGAACTGCCATAGAATTCCCCAGCCCACGGCAGTTCCAGCTGAAATAACTCATTGGGCCGGGTGGGCCTGACTATCAGAGCCCACCTCATCAGAATTAGTCTGACATTCTGTGACCATTGGGCTAGCCCAATCATCAAGTCTTTCATCATGGCCTACCCTGCGCCTTTTCTGGTCAACTAGTATCACCCCCTCATATTCAGAGTAATTACCACCACTATTTTGAACCTCAGTGCGCCCATTTCTGGCTTCCTTAGAAGTCGGGGGTAACAGAGAAGTCTCAACTACCCATTGCATTAAATTTTCATTATTCGCGACTGTTACGGTTGCCCCACTCTTCGCCTGCGCTCCCCCCTTTGCGACATCAACGACAGGATCCTCAAGGACCAGCCATGGATTTGTCGGCACCACCGCGACAGACTTCCGCCCGCCGGCTCTCAACCATGTGCCGAACGGCTTATCGGAACTCCCAACTGGCTTGTCAACATCAACTGGGCAAAATTTGTCAGCATGGCCAATAATGCCACAAGTGAAGCAAAACGACGGTAGACGTTCATAGCGCAGATCAATCCAGAACCAGTCTGCACCAGGTCTTTTCATCTTCATTTTTGCCTTCAAAGGTTTTGAAACATCAATTTGTGTACGAACACGCATGAAGGAGCGTTCTGTACCATCGAAGTTTCGTTAGTCGGCTTGCTCAAACACACCGATGTAGCTGCCAACTACTTTCGCAACTTTCTCCGACATAAAGCCACCAGGAAGATTGTGCACTTGAACCCAGAAAGAAGCCGTGGTCAAAGGTACTATTAACGGGTCATCACCATCCTTCAGGCGGCGGAGGACAACAAGATTTTGATCAAAAGTCCACAGGCCGTCCGTAAGGACTCTCGAAACATCCTTTTCACAGTAGAAGATAAAGAGAAACCGATTATAGCCCAGGTCCCGTACCATTACCCCCTTCACCAGCCGCCATGCCTTGGCCATGACGTCTCGGAAGATCACCAGTTTGATCAATCTATCAGTAACAACTCGTCCAACGATCGCGAACCTATAATCAAAAGTCTGTTGTGGTTCGTCGTCGATCTCCACGATGACGCCCTCATCATCGTCGATAATGGATAAAGCTTCGCAGGCATCGGTTATGGCACTAGTACTACCCCTTTCCATGTTGCCAGAAAAAACACAAGGAAACTCACCAAAAGCGAGAGAGAAGCTCTACACGTTTAGAACGGAGAGAGAGAAAAAAATTGTACAATCATTTAGTAATAATTGTAGTATATCACAATCTTAAGACATTTAAAAATATGTTTGAAGCTGTCCCATAGAGATAGCTCTTTGGTAGACCATTTGATCTAAAGTCACTAATGCTCCCCAAGCTGATTAACAATAATCTCCCAGAGATTTAAAAATACTTCATTTGTCTCTAATTAATTGTCTCATTTGCTTTTTGCACGATTTTTAATATAACGTAACAAATGTTACTAGCTTTTCAATTTTGTTCTCAAAAGTAGGTATTGTTTGTACAAAGTATAATTGTACTTACCTCTAAAAATTAGAAAAGTCAAAAGGGTAAATTGGGAAATGTAAAGTGATAGGTATGTTCAATTTTGTAAAGATGACACTATTTTGAGACAAACTAAAAAGAAAAGTAAGACAAGTAAAATGGGACAGAGGGAGTATATTTTTTAAAGTTGCCCGTGAAGCTAACTCAAGTGGGAGCATTATGCTGTGAACCCGTGTGTCCACCATGTTCATGGTGCACCATGTTCATGGTGGACACATTGTAAATTCATAATTTCTATACTGTAGATTCATATTTTTATACTGTAGATTCATAATTTCTATACTGTAGATTCATAAAATTTATAATGTAGATTCATAATTTCTATAGTGCACATTCATAATTTATGTACTGTAGATTCATAACTTTTATACTATACATTCATAATTTCTGTATTGTAGATTCATAATTTCTATACTGTAGATTCATAATTTCTATATTGTAGATTCATAAAATTTATAATGTAAATTCATAATTTCTATACTGCATATTCATAATTTCTGTACTGTAGATTCATAATTTGATAACTATGTATTCATTATTTGATAACTATACAGTTTAGAAATTATGAATTTACAGTACATAAATTATGAATGTGCAATATAGAAATTATGAATCTACAGTATAGAAATTATGAATGTACGTGTCCACCATACTCAACGCAGCTTTTTGAGAAAATCATTTTTGTATGTAATCATCTATCAGCTAACAATTAATTTATCAAACATCTTTCTACAATATCAGCTAATGTTATCAACTAGTCAAATTCACTTACCCAATCAATTAACCACTATCAATTAACAATTATTTACCAAACACCTCAAAATGGCAAATTATGTTGTGCAATCGTGTGCATCATGCATGGTGCACATTGTTCTATGTTCATTATTACTGAACTATATGTTCATAATTATAAAACTATGTATTCATAATTTTTTAACTTCATATTCATAATGATTGAATTCTATATTCACAATTACAGAACTTTATGTTCATATTCCCAATTGTTGAACACTGCATTCACAAATCACAGAATTATATGTTCATAATTTAATAACTATACATTTTAGAAATTATGAACCTACAGTACAGAAATTATTAATCTACAGTATAGAAATTATGAATCTACTGTATAGAAATTATGAATCTACTATATTTAAATTATGAATCTACGATTTATAAATTATGGATCTACAATATAGATTTTATGAATCTACAGTATAGAAATTATGAATCTACAGTATAAAAATTATGAATCTACAATATAGAAATTATGAATGGGATAAGAGTCCAATAGACCCTCCAACTATATAGCAAAGTTCAATTAAACCCTCGAACTAAAAAAAATCTTCAATTAAACTCTTAACCCTGTTAAAATAGTGCATTTAACCTATTTGACCTATAATAACATGTAACCTTCAAGTCACCTGCCACGTCAATTAATATTTTAAGGTTATTTTTTTTTAAAAATAAATAAATTAATTATATTATAAACAAATTAAAAATAAAATAAAAACTAAAACTAAAATAAAATAAAAAAAACCCAAGGGGCAGGCTGGCAGCTTACCCAGCCTGCCGCCATGGCTTCTCCATGAACGGAGAAGCTTCGTTCATGGACTAGAAGCCATGGCTTCTCCATGGACGGATGTTCTCCGTTCATGGAGAAGCCAACATGCTTCTCCGTCCAAATTTGGACGGAGAAGTTCGCTGGCTTCTCAAACAGAGAAGCCATGGCTTCTCTTCTCCATGAACGGAGAAGAAAAGCCAGCGAGCTTATCTTTCAAATGTAACGGCAGCATCGAACGATGAATCCGGCTGCTTATTCACCGCTGGCGACAACGAACGGAGAGTCCGACGGCGAGGATGAATACCGCAGCTTTTTTTTTTAAAAAATAAAAATAAATTTAGGGATAAAGTACAAATAAGTCACTGAACTATCTGGGAAATAGCAATTAAGCCATCAAACTCAAATAAACCACAGAACACGTAAAAAAAAGAGCAAATAAGCCATTGAACTCAGAAAAAAAAAGAGCAATTAACATTTTTAACAGGTAACCTCTAGGTTTTTGTTAACTGGATTGCCAAATGTTTATTTTATTTGCGTTTCTTTTATTACAATCCACCTACATGTAATATATTTTAAAGTAATTACAATTAAAATAGTTTTGTCTTGTCAAGATTTGATTGATTGATTTATTTATTATTATTATTTGTCACTGGATCTTCTGTTTAAAAAATAATAATATAAATAAATAAATTATTATTTTTAATTTGACAGGCTTTTGCGGGCCGGCCCGCGAAGCCCGCGGGCTTAGAAATATACAGCCCAAGCCCGCCCCATGCGAGCTTGCAGGTCTCGCGGGCTGGCCCGTGGGCCATCACTTAAATTAAAAAAAACATTAAATAGTATATAAATATGTTAAAACCGTTTGAAATATGGCATTATTTATTGGTCGTTCTTTCGCATCCTCACGGTGTATGATACACCTCAATGCACCGAAAACTTCCATAAAATCCATAAGCCTCGTCCAAATCTCCCGGATCGATACCGCACATTGAGCAGAACTATAGAAGGGTGATCAAAGCTAGGGTTCAACAGCACACTCTATTTCTCTCTCGGCTTCATATTTTCCCTCTACAGTTCTCGTTTGTGTATAATACATATATAAATATGTATGTTTGCTGGACTTGGAGGCAATTTAGTAATTCATAAATATGTATGAATTGATGATTTAGTTTTAGTAATTGTTTGATAGAGTTTGAGGTGGATGGAGACAGGAGAAGCGAAAAACTACGTACTCTAGGAATTATTGAATTAAAAATTGGCGAAGGATTATTGAATTATTGTATTTCTCCCTTTTTGCGTATTCTTAGATAGTCAGATCTACACACTGTCTAATAATTAAGATACTATATATATGGTTTTAAAAAAAAGATATCATATATATATAATTTTTTTTTTTTTTTTTAAATATGACCTGGCTTGCGGGCCGGCCCGCGCAGGCTCTGGCCCTTCGCGGGCCATGTCCGTTAGGTCCGCATTTTCGCGAGCCTAATTTCTTGCGGCCCTAACCCGCCCCATCGCGGGGCGGGTGCGGGCTAACCCGCGGGCTTCGGCCCACTTTGACACCCCTACCAAACATAAACATCATAAGTCTACAATCCATCAAATAAACATCATAATAATTATAAGAGTTTAGACTACTAGATCTACTAAGTTAGTCTAACTCGATCATCTCTCAAATGCTGGGCCCACTTGAAAGGGGTTTTGCAAAATAACACGTAGACAAGTAGGAAAACACCCGTTAGCACGAGGCTAAGTATAATCACACTCAACCCTGTAAAGTACTGCAGTATATACATTGGAAAAACATTTTTGCACAAACTCTAATCAAGCAATCTCAACACTTATACAACTTTTAAGGTACATCACAGACTTTCTATATGCTCGCAACCTATAATATCAACAGGCATGCTTCAAATATAAATAACTC